CAGGAACACCCTTTGAAATTGAATTCATGACGCAATAAACATCAAAATTTGAAATCTTAGCCAACAATTTCATGTCCGACTGCTTCGATTGACTCGATCCACTGTGCTGTGCCTGGCAATGTCGGGTATACGATTCTGGCGAATCGGATGCATACTGGGTTTCATTCACGAATGCATGTGTAAGAATCGCTATGTATCGAGACAAGCTGTTTTGTTGAGATTCGATGTTGTTGATAGTGGAATGAAGGAGAGTAATCAGCACTGGAGGACTGCCGTGTTACCAAACGAGAGTGACAAATTCAAAAACTACATTTTCAGAAAATCGACCAGATAAAATCCGAGTGAAATCAATATCTCACTTTAAAAATACTCCAGTGTTCGTTAAAATAAGTACTCTTGGGAACAATAATTAGGGTGATTAAGAATAGACAAAATTTACCTTTACCATTAAAAATAACTTATTCAAGTAAGACAGCTGCAAGTGCAATCGTTTCCATGCGCTTTTAGTTACAAGTCAAGGTGGCTACAAGAAAATTTTAATGTTACAGACCGAAAAGTATGCCAATTTGTAAGAGAGAGCAGGGCACATACCGCTCTTGCGGTATAATATCGTCACCTTTCGGCCAAAGTTCCGTAAGCGCCATGCGAAAAATTTCCGTCATTAATTTATTTTTTTACTGAGAATTTGTTGATTAAATCGGTTTGAAAATTTCACTGACTTTTATCGGCAGGACAAAAAAAATTCAGTGAAATTTTCGGACAGCTTCATCGAACAATTTCTCTGTAATAAATAAAACAGCGGCGGTAATGTTTACATACCGCATGCCGCTTTTGATACTTTGGCCGGGAGGTGACGATATGGAATAACCGCCCATGTATAGGTCGAAAATTAGATCAATTTTTGTCTCTCACCACGCTCTCACACTTCTTGATTATTGCGATGAAGAAGAATTTCGCTGTTTTGATATTCGCACCGAAAAAAAAGATGCTGATTCAACATTCTGGATGTAACAAGGTATGCGACAACTCACATAACGCTGAATTACGAGTATCCGCTACAGCAGTTACTTCAGCAATGTCAAAATGTAAAACTAACCCCTGTGGCTGTTAATTCAGCGGTTTGTGAGTTGTCGCACACCTTCTTACATCTAGAATGTTAAATCAGCATCCTTCTTATTTCGGTGCGGGTTTCTTTAAATTCGTTGAGTGAATGAAAATAAGATATATTAGACTGTCAAGAAAATTAGAACTTTTGATCGTCAGCACTCCTGTCGATAAGACGGCAGTTGGTGAGAGGATGAGCAGGCGTCGTGTGTGCGTGTAAGTGTGTGTCTTCACCCGAAATTAGGGGCGAAAATGATGCTAACCGGAGATTTGCCAGGTTAAGTGCGCATCCAAAGCGTGAAGCGCAACGCCGACGCACCCAATGGAACACGCATGCGCACTGATTCTCGTTTCAAGATTATCGCGTGCGCTCCCGGCTCAAAAAAGATAGAAAAGTGGTGCGCGCCGTTGTCATAACGCGATTGACTTCGCGTCGTTCGATCGGATATCCGGACGCTTTCGGCAACGTTGGTCGTGTGAGCCATTGTTTTCGGCGTGTGAGTGACATTTTTTGATTAGTGCGCGCGGACTCGGTTCCGTCAAAAATGAAAACAATTACGCTCGCCTAGCGTGTCACGGACGCGGGGAGTCAGGTCAGCTAGGCCCCGAAATTCACGCCACCCATTCTGCCGTGCTAAGGAAAAACGCCGTATGAGTCCTCAGACGTTGCCAAGTTTCCTCCGATAAAATCGAATTTACTGGGAAAAACGTTAATATTATTTTCCAAAATTTTCAGACAATTTTGTACGCGATTTAATCTAAAATATCTGAACATTTCAAGGAAAAATGTGCATGAATGTTGTCAAAAAACATTTTTTTCAAGGGAAATTTGGCAACTCTCGAATGTTCATACGACGTTCTTCCTTAGCACGGCAGTATTTGAGATCTTGTCGTTGCCAGCGCCAGCGCAACGTTCGAGGACCCAAGGATGAGACCCGTCCAAGGAATCATCTGCTCCCTCGTTACTCGTTATCTGCATCGCAAAGTCTGCTTTTTTCATTAGGATTCCGAATACAGGGAGAAAAAGAACCCCCATACCCTGTGTAGCGCCGTGTGGAGACCATTTCTGATTGAATCCCGTTTCTAGACTCCATAGACAGAGAAATGAGACCGTCCACTATCATCTTGGCAATGGTGGAAGCTTTTACTCTCGGAAATCCAACATTCAACGCATCACCTAACTACTCGGTGAATGATTCACGCCATGTTTTGAGAATTTTTTTTTTTTTCAAACGAACCGAAGTTTGCGAAACCTGTTTGGCTCATCACGTTGTCCGAAGCCCCAAGCTCATCATCACCTAGTAGGTGAGTCAGCGGCTGAAAAAAGGGTAATGACAACCTTATGATTGTCTAACTGGAAGTGTCGTATTCCCGAAAGTATAAAAGCTTCCACCTGTGCAAATGGAAAAGTCTCTTGTCTCTGTTCATGGATCACAAACGAGCAGAAAAATTATCTTTTAATCGGTTTCAGAGAAGAGATTATGGACTAGAGACCAAGGAACTGAGGACAGGAGAGGAATCAAACAGCACGAGAGAGGGAATTTATTATGGGAATCAAGAATTAGTCAACCAAAGATTACGAAAAAAGTTACTGTAATCTTCCTGCCCAATTGTGGCATCCAGCGGGTTGATTGTTGAAATTGATAGACAAAGCTATGGACAAAGGAGACAGAGGAGATGTGGAGAGATCCTATTGGTGGAAGCGGGTAGTTGCAATGGACAGAGAAGGTAGATATTAGAGGGGTTGCCGATAGTTATATCGGCAACCCACGATAGATCCTATAGTTTTAGTCCATCATTTACTTTCTATGTCTATAGAAACCAACCATTTCAAGCAATAGGATCGCTCCATTTTCCCTATGTCTTCTTAGTCTATCGATTTGTCTGTCAATTTCTACAATCAGTCCGCAGGACTCGAGGTGGATCAACTCTGGATATAAAGCGACTCTAGTTTTATGATCAGTAGATGACGGTATCAACTAGAATCAGCTTAACAATGTTTCACAAAAAAGGTCCTAGTTCCGGCCATGCATTCAACCTACCTTGGCTAATGTCCAGATTTAATTATCAACAATTGCTTTCCATTTTTTCGTGAGACTGAGCCATGCAGTTTGACTCTGCTGAAAGACTAACACGGGAGATTTAGCTCTCCCTCTGAAGGCATTCCGAAGAACAGACCTGAGATCATACAATCAGCTACATCCTTACCGAGGATTCCCACTATGGTATTGAAGGATACTTATAAAAGCTGTTTGAAATAGCATGAGCCAACCAGCTAGAAGTTACCTCTATCGGGAGTTATAGTTTAGGCATAATTAAGTGACGTGGACGCGGTGAACTATACTGAAATGGGAGGACGTTTGAATAACTTATCAACAATTCAACTTAAGATTCGTCAACATCCAAAACCAGCGCCACACAGTGGATCGAGTCAATTATAGAGGTCGTACATGACATTTTTGACTAAAACTGCAAATTTTTATGTTCATTTTGTCACATTTTATATTTAAAGGGGTATTTCTCAAAGGTAATTTTACAAAAAAACCAGTAGAGCCATTTTTAGAACCTCAAAATTGTGTATAAACGGAGTAATAAGCGTTTAAAGTTTCCAAATTTTGTCCGATCTTTCCTATGGACTCGATCTACTGTGCGCCGCGCCGTGGGGTTATTTTCTACTTTAAAATATGTTTATGCTGGTACCCTCTCTCGGGAATCGCTGACTTAATTATTCATCTCTATTCAGTCATCGCATCGCCAAAAAACTTCAACAAGAGGGGTGATAATTAGACGCTAGTTAAGCAGTTGTGGGGACCAATTAATTTTGGGGTGCACATTTGTTCAAACAGAATGTGACGTGCTTAATTAACACGTCTGATCTATTTCATGGCTGCAAATATTTAAGTAACGCCCACGAGACACGAGTCTATGGCGTTGGCACAGATATCCTGCATTGATCTGTTGCCCAGGAGGGTAATATCGTCAAATCTTTATTTCAAGTTTATTGATGCAAAAGATAGAACATGGAAATATTTTGCGTGTCAATCCTTGTTGGATTATCATAATATTGCTCAAAAACTCTGACATTTTCCATCATGTCATTTGAGAGAAGTGAGGGGAACCCCTCTTTAAATGGAATTTCAACTTTCAAACAAGAAAATTTGACTTATCTTAGAGAGTTTCAAGGAAGCTTATCCTCTTTCCCTTCATGCAAGTGTTTACCTATCGAGAAATAAAGGTTTAAGATGTGATATAAGAGAATTTCAGAACAAAGTTGGACTCATAACCATGCATATCTTTAGTGATGTTTGTCCGAATCGCTCTTCAATCTCTCCCTATACTTGTCTTGTCAAGACCTGCCCTCCCCCCTCCCGTAGCACTGAATTTCAGTGGGGCTCCAGCATGAGAGGTCTTATCCCGTTCCATAGGGAATGTTGTCTCCTCCCTAGAGTTCCTTTATACCGAGAATCAAGACAATGTGAATCCATTTCTGATTGCTTCCCGTATTTTAGGCCTTCACAGTGTCACAAACGGGAATAAAGATTACATTTTCTCCGATTGCAAAGATTTTAATCTGGAATGGACCAGGGAATTACGGGTTCGGCAAGGAACAAACGGAATGAGAGAAGGAACGGAGAAAGGGATTTGAGAATGGGCCGATCAAAGATTACAAAAAACGTTCAATTTCTGTAATCTTTATTCCCGTTTGTGACTCCATGAGGGGGTGTTGTCTTGACTCTCAGTATAAAGGGACTCCACTCCCGAGAACCTCCGTCCACCCTCTGGTCCACCCCCAGAGATTTGACTGCAATGGCGGCCGTGCGTAAACCGCAGGGCAGTATGATCTAATGGTTGTACGACTATGGTCGTCTAATGGTTGCATGAATGGGGTGACTTACCGGCAGGCTGAGGCGTGGCGGGCGAGAGGCCGACGTTGGGGAGGCCGGGGAGGGTGCTGGAGGTGACGGCGGAGATCTGGCTGAGCGGGGTGGTGCCGGAGGGCGGAAGCCCCGTTTTCCAGTTGTTGCCGTTGCCTCCGGTGATGATGGCCGCCTTGCTCTCTCCGGCGCTCCGCTCCGGCGACTTGGAGCCCGGCGCCGCCAGGTCCCGGCACAGGCTCGACACCGAGAAGTCGCTGCACTTCCCGCTAGAGAGCGTCGTCGTCGCGCCCGCCCCCGCCCCGGACCCCGTCTTCGGGGCCGCCGCCCCCGCCGTCGACGTCGGGGTCGAGATCAGCATGTTGGTCATCGAGACAAACCGAAAGTTCCCGCCAGGCGAAAACGCCGAGAGCCCGGCAGCGTCAATGGATCCGACGAGCTGTCCTCATTTCGGAGAGATCGAAAAACTTTTCAACCGGTGTATGCTGGAGACAAATAAACTAAGAAAAATTGAGATCAGGACCAATTACATGGAGTACGAAAACCAAGGAACGAGTTTAAACCGCTGGTGCGTATCACTGCGCAACCGTCAACACTAAGCGGCGAATTCGATATCAACCTAATTATATATGTGATAAATTTAGAGACGCTGGGTTTGAACTAACTACGAGATTTTTTTTTTTTTATTGGAGCACGCACTTGCACGGTTCAGTCCCGGCCATGGCGCGTTTCAGCCGATTGTGACGATTTTCACACAGTTTCCGGTATGGCCGTTGAGGTCTTCACCTCATTCGAAGCGCGTCAAACCATTTTTCACCACTGTCATCTACGTAAAATCTCGAGCTGCGACTCAATCCTACGATTTAGCTGATGTTTTGAGAACGTCGGTTCGATAGTATCTGCAGGCCGGAGTGTTATCTTTTGAGTGTCATCCCTGGTCTCGTTGATAGTTCGGTTGTTGTAACACCAATCAACCTGAAAAAATAAATGAATAAAATAAAGAAATAGAACTTGGAATCTTGATGGGGAATATCTAACGCTGAAAAATGTACGTTTCAAATAAGGTCAAGAGATTGATTGGTTTTTTCTCTAGCGAGTAACCAGTGGTAATAATCTGGATGTTTTCTCTGAAATTTTATATTTCTCGTACGTAGTATTCAGGCACAAGTATGATTTAAAAAAATGTAGAAATATAACAATTAGCCCTTTGATGTGTCCGCACGATGAAAACCGTAGAAATGGATTTCTTGGCCTTTGAAGTTCATAAATCTGATGAGGCGCAAACATTTAGTTTGCTCAGAATTTTGAGAGAAAGTTTATGTGTTTATCAAAAATATAAGAAGATCTATGTGTCCGCCCAATCATGCGCATGCATGTTTTTCTAGATTTGTTCATACTTTCATTTCACAGCATAACTAATCAAAATTATAACCCCTAAACCCGCTTTTTAAATTTTTCCTTGATTTTTGTCACTGGCTCCACTTGTCACGTTCGAAATTAACCAGGGTCGACGAATCGCCTTAGAATCGAGTAAACAATTTTGACGGCACATTCTACATAGCAGGTGTCTTCGAAAGTTGGAGCCTGGGATTAAAATATTTTCGCGAATTTAAGAAAACAAAATTAAAAAACAAGGAAAGATTAGCAAGTTATTTTGTCTCATTGTTCATTTTCCTGCGAAGACCCGGCAGGAACACGAGCCTCCGCCAAATTCCAGCTGTCACAGTGCAGCGACTTGGTGACAATCCGAAAATGTCACAGTCGCGCGCTCCCCACCGAAAAGACAACTAATCAGGCGTCCTAATCCGGACCCATAAAGGGTGTATAAAACTGTCAGAATAATTACAATAACTCTACCGACTCCAATCCCCTTAAAAGATCATCACGCCGACAATGCTTAGATGCGTGATTTAATTCCAACCTAGGAGATGTCTTGATTGATTTATTATGATAATTTGATGCAAGCTTCGATTTCTGCAAAACCGTCATAGCCAAGCGGCAAATGTGACGCGGAATTCCGATCTCTGATTTGAGACGGGCTCAAATCCGGTGCAAGAATTTTAAGCGTCACTTTATCCAACGCGTAAGATGCTTTTGCATGGTTGCTTTTCTCAGACTCGGAGCTCGGTATTCTCGTTTAAAAGGTGCTAAACTTAAAGATGCCTGTGGTAAAGTTGGCAGAATTGCTGGGCTCACGACTTGGCTTGGCGCGTGCTGAGCGTGCTTCTACATGCATATTGGTATAATTTATTTATTTATTAGCCTATATTTACCCGGTAGCATCTCTGATATGTGACCAGTTCCATTAGTGCGTGCCTGGAGCTTTCGAATGAAAATCGCGTTTTTTATGACAGAATCTGAAGCTAATTTCTCGCCCTGTATTCTTTTGCACGATTATAAGATACTTGATAAGCTGTATTTTTTATAATTTATAATCAGTATTTCATTTTTATTTTATTTTTAATAATATCCTGAGTGTTTGCATTAGAGACTCGGTCAAAGAATTGTTTTATTTTTATCAACAAAATATCACTCGAAAAATTGTGAGTACGAAAATATCCACTTCGCCCTTTAAAGGCGAATAAAAAGGGGCGAAAACATGTTTTGCGTGAGGTTCAACCTTTTTATTTGAATAGTCGCTACTTTCTGGAGGTTTAGATCAGACTCTACTCTGAAGTGATTTTATTGGATTTTATTTTAATTGAAAATTAGAGCGTTATTGCAAAAGCTTAAAAAAAAACTAATCAACAATGATTTCTATTTCTTCATACTGAGGTTCATTTAGACGCCGTGACGAATCGTACCAGCAATGCTGAAAATCGTTTTAAATCAGCCCAAAACATCATATTTTAACGGGTAAGGTAAGATGTGTTTGCTATAATATATATATGGTCTCTGATGGAAGTCAAAGCAAACTGTGTATATATCCTTTTTACAGGAGTAAACTTTTTCGATCAGATCCAAATTTAAAAAAAAAAACTGGAGCTACATTCATTAGGAGGCAAATTCTACATAATTGCTTAACTCAAAGTAAGGAATTCATAGCAGTGCGCTAAATCAAGATTTGAGGTCTAATGAAGACGTGCCCAAAGTAACTTTCCTGGTAAGACAAATTGTGTCCCACCTAAATTTCGGAGAGCGGCTTGAAAGCAGAGGCATCGCCACCAGGTTTCAAGAGGACCACTAAATCTCGCACAAAATTCAATTGAAAAGAACGAATCGTTAACGAAAAAGCGGCAAAGGTGTTTGAGACTCGTAAAATAAATCTGATAGAGCGAGGGGTCGGCGGAACACTCGGGCAAAATATCAGGACGAACACTGCCGTGCTAAGGAAGAACGCCGTATGAACCTTCGAGAGTTGCCAAATTTCCATCGATAAAATATTTATTCGTGAGGAAAGTTATGAATATTTTCCCTTGAAGTTTTCAGACTTTTTACATCAAACTACGAACGAAATCCTGCGAAAAATCGGAGGAGAAATATCCTCAGAGTTTCCTGAAAATTCTTGTTTTGAAGAGGGAAATTTGGCAACGCCTGATGGTTCAAACGGCGCTTTTCCTTAGCACGGCAGAACAGGAGCGGCAGCCAGCAAAGTGCGGTCCGAATTAAATTCGTCGCTCTCGCTCTTGCGAGTTAAAATTTTAATTATTTCATCAAATCACACCTCGGACCTTTGCTCCTCCCGTTTCCGGTGATATATAAACAGATTAGTTTAATTGATCGATAAAATGTGAAAGCCGAACTGCTTGCCGCTGCGCTCCCCCCCCCCCCCTCCCTCGCGGCCAGCATCAAGCCGGGTCAATCCGACTAATGAATAACAATAAAAAGCTAAACTTGTTTTCGGACAGGCTCGAGCTGAGCCCGACTCGATTTAATGCGCACGCACGTCGCGCCAACAAGGGGCACGCGCGAAAAAAATTACCGCCGGATTTATACTTCAGACTCGCGATTTTTTCAAGTTTCGAGTCGAAGTAATTTTAATGGATTGTATTCGATGCTTCAAACAGGTGAGATTTTATCGATAGATACAAATTTTTATAGAGCAGCCCGAGATAATGGGAACAGTAGGAAAACAAGGGGGTAAACGGGAAACAAGGCTAAAATACACAATTAAAATAACCGATAAGTTTTGACTCAAGACTGAGTCATTTTCAGTCGGAAATACAATAAGAATTGCAAGAAACGATGAAAACCAGGGCCCTGCGTGGTGGTGGCCGGGATCTGAGAAAAATTATCTATTTTTATTGTATTTCCGACTGTTATATGGGAATAATTCCAATGTTCAAATGGAAGAATCCTCTTTTATGATAAGAGTGGCAGGCGCAAAGTGAACGAGAAAATGCAAAATTTTAGAACTTTCGGCCTAGGAAAAGTTTCGATTTAAACCGGGAAATTATGGGGAAGCAGCTGGCAGGGACGCTTGATCTGGGGAGCGTAAAATATGGAGGACAGGAGTGCGCGGCATCATTATAGAATCAGGCGCGTAAATTAGCACTCAGGAGTTGAGAAGTGAGCCACGTACCTTTGCTTTGAAGGACATGCTCTTTAGAGCCCACGGATGAAAAGAAGAGGAAACTTGGCGGATACTCGCGGGTTCAGAGGGGGCTACGGAGCCCTCGCCACCCTCCAGCTCCCCGGGCCGGACCCCGGACCCCGGTGCGGTGGACAGCTTGATCTGGCTAATCGCTAATCGTTTGATATATTTAACCGAGCGCAACATGCGATGTTTCCACAGTTGTTCTCGTAGGCAGGAGGTGCAGCATCCTTATTCCTTATTTCTTAATCCGGGGTCGTGTGAGTCTCACTCCACCGCTTTTGAAGCCGGGTCCGTAAGGTTCGCGTTAATAAGGTTGCCAACCACTGGACATTCGTGCCCCACAGTATCAAAACATAACTTATATATAGCGCACCGATACGACTACCGCGTAGGGATCCTTTGAGCACAGGCCACTGAAAACTCGAATAGGTACTCGTTAAAATATCGGCTGAATTAATGTGAAATCGACTGAGAAGTTGCGCGGATCGAACCTTCGTCCTTCCTGAGGCAGGACTGCTGATCGATCAATGAGACTGGGAAGTATTTTTTTTCTGTAAACTACCAAATTGAGGCGGTGTGAGGGGAAAAGGCATTTCTTGGTTGCTGTGTTTCAGAATCCCTAGTGCTATAAGTAGGGTGGTTTTTCTGAAATTTGTAGTTTTCAGCATTGTAAGATCATAAGGAAAATTCAGTAAAAGTTTTAGTGCAGTTGCCCTTATTATAGTGGATGAAACTTTAACAGAGATCGCTGAGATACCGCAACCAAGAAATGCCCTTCCTGCAACTAGCGCTTTAATCATCTCGGTAACATACTATTTTTTTCATTTGGTCTCGTCATTTTTTAGGGGGAGTTTTTTAGGATTGGGCCGGGGTGGCTACCGCCACCTAGAATTATTGTGACCAATCAAAAAGAATAATAATATAATGAACGAAATCTTCGATTCTAATGCGCCACAGAGATGGAAAAATGTTATGACTCTTGAACGTTTTACCCGAGCGTTTTATCTTGAACAAAAAAGCATTCATTCACATACAATAAATATTCACTATTAGATACCGTCTAATCACTCATTATTGGAATCTGATGAGATATCGTTAATTTTTTTTATTTTAGCATAAGTTGAATTTAAATCAATCTTATCAGTATTCACTTCCAGGACTTTATGTCCACCTACCTTTCGTCCATTAAATAAATGTCCACCGCTATTTATGTCCACTAAACGTTAAGTCCAGTCTTTATTCAGTCCACATGATTTAATGTCCAACCATGAATACGTCCAAAATTGTCCAAATTGTGGACATGTTATGTCAACATTTTTTTCTTCTCATTTAAATGACAGGAACCACCTCAAAAATAAATGCATACTACTACCACCTTCATTCTTAAAAACATTTCATTCATGAATCAAGTCATGAAAAAGAACAGACTCTAAGAGCA